ATATATATATATATATATTATTCAGGATAATATTACAGCTTTCCATGCTTTTAGCCTATGCCAAAAAGGTAGAAGTTGTAGCAGCTGCCTGTTAGGCTGCGCCATTTCTCTTTGTAAAGCAGGTAGAAATGCACATCGACAACAATTTAACCAACAGAGAAAAGTGGTGACAGAGACTTTGTTTTAATGAAGATGCTGTCTATGAAGATTAAGTATTGAGTGACCCACAGAGAAGAAAGGGCTGGGAGAGTCGAATGAGAAATGAAAAGATGTTTACATCCATACAGTCTCTTTAATCATTTGATTTGGCAGCCATGAACTAAACTACACAGGTCTTCCTGTGTAGTTTAGTCCTGTTTCTCTGAAAATTAAGAGAAGACGACAGAGCGAGGAAAACATTCATTAAAATCACATGTATTCATTCTTTCATTATTTATAATGGCATATCATTATGGTAATAGCGATCTCCATTAGCATAATGGTGATAAGTGGAATCTTTTTTGACTGAACAGGACACTGATGCAAATATCAATTGCACACATTACTCTTCTATCGTAATGAATGGAGACACAGATTTGAGGCATCCTGTTCACTTCCATTTGGCATTTGGACCATTAAAGAGCGATAGGGGTCAATTAATGTCAACCACCACCAAAAAAAAAAAAAAAAACACCTTTGGGTAACTTTCTGTTTCTCACACAGACATTCCTGTACTAAATTCTGCAGGTTTTATTTTAATGAGCGAAAAGGTCAAAGGGTGAATAAAGGGAATAGACGACAGAAACATTAAGTGTCTCATCTCAGGATCCAAACTCAAAATTAAAACTAGTCTCACATTTTGCAGCCGCCAGCAGAGGGCCGGGCTGTCGACTCACAGTGTAAAGAAGCTGTAAACTTGAGCATGGCCAGCCAAAGGACGAGAGAGAACAGAGAGTGGGCCCACGGCCCACGCTCTACAAGATGCCTATTTTCGTGGCAATTAGTGCACTCTGCTGATATCAGATGGCAGATAGAATAAAGCAGGTGGGTGATCAACTATAGATCAAATTGACATTCCCCGAAGAACCCCCCAACAAAGAACTCGACACCTATTTATAAGAAATGTGATGCCAAATTATCCATAGTGAGACATGAAGTGCACACGTATGCTCTCGTGCACAAACGCTGCTCTGGGATTGCCACAATCCTCCTGGGATTTGAGTGCTCGTAGCTGAGCTCCTGAGATTTCTTTAGTCTTTGAACAAGCACAGTTACACTCGTATGTGTTAGTGTAAGTGCCTTTGGTCTCTAGAGATGACAGGACTACCAACTTCCTCAACCTGTTGTAGATAGGAAATGCCATCAGTGCAAACACATCAGTGGACAGAATGCTTAACTTTAAAATAAATTGTGTACTAAAGCATTTCCTATATATAGCATATTATGGTCTTTTGCTATTAAACAGTGTAGCACGCTGTGCCTGCTCTGAGCCCCTCAAGAGTCCTGCAGCAATTTAGTATTGTACTTCTATAATGCAACTCAAGTGAGCTTTTTGTTAGACCCTCCCTGCCTGGCAAATCCCCACATCTCTTCAAAATCCATGCCCCTATTTTGTAAAACAGGCCTTCTGTTATAAATCTGTAGTCAATTAAATTCATTTGACTTTATTTCACTAGAATAATCCACTCAATATCAGTACTAAGTCTTTGGGATACGTGTTTGTGTTGTAATGTTAACTCTATTAAAAGTCAGTTTTTAGATTTTTATTTTTTAAAACAAAATATAATAATAATATTCACTAACTAACCAGGCTAGCGTTAAAGCAGCATCTCACAGGGTTTTTTTTTACGGTTTTTGACAGTGGAGTCTGAGGCAGTGGCTGTATCTGGTTAAACAAAAAGGATCTTGACTACTTAAACAAACAAAGCTCCGATTTGGCTGTAGGCATCCTGCAATTCCATAGCTGTTGTAAAGGGACAGCTTAAGAATAACAATATACGCCTGTTAGCGGAAAAAACAAACACTTGTAGTGGACATACATTGGCGGTGTGCAATTGCTCTGACAGATTACATTACAGCTGCTGGCTGGAGTGCTCTTGCTCAGTACTGGACCAATTTCAAAAACTCACCAAGACACAAAACCATGGGGGGAAAAGGAACCAGGTTGAAAAATAGGAAAGTTTCCCTTTAAGAACCACTATTCTTCCTCTGGCAATTGAAGTTGGCAGATTTGAAAACATTATGGTGGAAAACATTTTCTTTTGTACTGTACAGACTGATGATTTAAGAACGTCAATTTTCCATGAAATTACTCCAAAAAACCCTGCAATAGTGTGCAGATGATCAAAAATAGAAATGTTTAATTTTATTGTGTTTGCTGGCTGCATGGAATATTTAATTAGTATTTACAATGACATTACAAGACAATGACAGTTGGAAGATCTTTGAGTTAGTTTGCTTTATTTTTGGACCTCTTTTTGAAAATCGTTTTCACTGATTCAATTTAATTCAATTCAAT